GACCACCGATTCTTTTATCGTGTGTAAGTGTGGGCATTTCCCTATTGTCACTGTCAATTCGTGCCTATGCCGATATGATGGTTCGTGTCTTGGATAACATTGGTTACGTACATTCATCTGGCAATCCCCCCCATTTTGAAGTTTAGCTTTGACAGTTTTGTTATGTTTACATTTCTTATAATCGTTCTTATGTCTATTATTTGGGCAATAAAAATAATAGATCACAAGAAAAACACTACTTGAGGGGCACCGTATTCTAGCACAGAGGAATTCAGCATCATCTGAACCTGTGAACACAACTTTTTCAGAGGAAAAGTCGGTCTGAACAGCTATTAAAACACCCCCGCCTTTTCTATCTAAGCGATCATTTCTAAATATTTCATACTTACTACACAATATTTCACTATTAAACACATTCGGTTTTAGCCAAGTTTCAGTAAAAACCAAAATTTCATAATTTAAATCAAAAGACTTTAAGTACAGCTCAGTTAATTTTGTATTTAGACCTCTAACATTTTGGAAATAAATATTGAAGAGAAAATTACTTATAAGTTTTTTGATCCTGAAGGGAATTTGAACAGTATTTTCATTCCGAGCTCGAGGTTTAAACTCAAACTCACGAAATAAAGCACCATTGGGCCAGAATGAACCATCAACAATGTTTTGAAAATGGTCGGCGGAAATATCAATTTTGAAGGAAGATATGCTTCTTTCGTATGAAAAATTAAATTTTCTAATAGCTATGTGCCGGGGATTAAGCTTTGATGTTATATAAGACTTAACATCTTCNGGGGATTAAGCTTTGATGTTATATAAGACTTCACATATTCTACCGACGTTTCACTAGAAAAGCGCGAAACAAACACAGATTTATTCGCAGGAACTACGATTAATTCTTTCGGTAACGGAGAAGGCCCGCTTTGAGATGTAGGTTCAGACACAGCTGTCGTTTTTGCTGCAGCCCTTGTAGTGACACCTGAGGAAGATGCAGCTCAAGAGATAACTCAACACACGGAGAATTAAAACTTTTTAATTCCTTATTTAAGCCGGGAGTAGGCAAAGAATCAATTGGCGGAGTGTCAATGTCTAAAGAAATGGGATTAGGAACAATGCTGTCTCCTCCATGCTTCCGCTTTTTTGAAGCTTGTTTAAGCTTGGGTGATGGAGAGGATGAAGATTCAATGCACTTAAAGTCTTTAAATGCATCTTCATATCGCTTAAACTTTTCGTTTAGAAGTTTTAACTCCTTACCCAACTCCTGGAAGCCAATTCTGGCGCTCCTAAACATTTTACAAAGCTCTACTTCGGTTGATCTGCACTTGGGACAAAACCAACGAACACCTTTGTTATCGGTTATGATGTCGGCCACCCTACCATTGAGACCAGCACATTTTACGTAAGCTAAGTCATCACACAACCAATACGCAACGCAACGCTCTAAGTCGTTTTTAATGTTACATTTTTCAAAACAGCAGGATGAATACATTGCAGCGCGAAGTAGTAACAATTTGTATGTACAAGAAAAACTCACAGTGTACGCTATTAGTACGATAGTAGCAAAGATGAGCGTTTGAGAGACACAGAAGTTTAGGTATTGTAAGTTCAATGGTTAGAAACCGTGCTGAACTTAACAGTTTTAAAGCCACTGAGCCAAAAAGCTTAAAAGCTTAAAAACATAAAAGCAAGCCAAAATGAGCTGTTTGCAGGAAAATTATTTGATCGATGATAAGCAAAATGTATGATAAATCGCGGAAGATGGGAAAATGCACTCTCACGCAAGACAACAATAATGCACCAAACGAGGCAAATATGCACAAGGAATGAAAAGAATATTAATTTTTTATTTTTAATCCACGCACTTTATGTCTAAAACACAACAATTTATTGGAGCTTGGCTTCAAATAGCTTTTTCCAGTATAAATTACACAAATTAGAACTGCTTAGCACTTAGATAAACAAAGTAACTTTAGAAATTCTTTCAAACGAATGTTTAAGCGACTGCACAGTACGAACGTTGCAAATGGTAATGTAAACGAATCTACCACAAACGAAACAAAACTAGTTTAATTTATTGCGAAGCTTTTTAATTTTTTTCATCTTTAGGAGTTTCCGAAGACAATGATATGATGAATTAAAGTTTTTCCAAAATTTTCGATATTTTTTATCAATTAATATGACAGTAATCGCTCGCGTAGATTTTCGGCTTGTGTTTTTTTGGTTCCCAACTTATGTGTAATAGACGCGGTATAGACCGCCGCCTATTTGAAAGCATTACTCAGTCACTTTGACTTTAACGAACAACAGCTTTCACAGTAAAAAAAGGTATTACATTCGTACAACACAAACTGCAAAAATATGCCAGATTGGGATTGAAAAGAACGCAAATTCAGGTCCAAGCAGTGTATAAACTACTATTATAAAAAAATATTACGAAATAAAATATGAGTTGTAACGCAAAACCACATATCTGAACAATCAGTTGTATGGGAGCTATATGTTATAGTGAACCGATTTCCATGATTTTCAGAAATAGCTAAGGTAATATCAAAATACAGTCACGTGCAAAATTTTAGTAAAATAACCTTAAAACTGAGGTAATTATTAACAAAAAACCTAAAATTTAAGCAGATTTTCAAGCACCGTTATCTCGAAAACTAGAGCCAATCTGGTAAAACGGAGGACGCCATTGAATTTAAAAGATCCCAGTTAAGTTATCCAAACCTTTGCCCAGAAAAAAATTCAAGACCTGAGCACAGTGTTTTAAACGACGAAAAATTCACTTTAAGAACTCTAAAACTTCCCCCCTAAATATCTCACAATTTTAACGTGATACGGATTTTCTGAAAACGCCATCGTAATCTAGAGGCCAAAATTAAGTTTACGTATTTGGGAAACTCTAAATTTCCGAATATATTGAAGTTTTTATTCCAAAACAAAAAAAAGGTTTGCTTAGTTATAGAGACTTCAATGCCTGCCAGCGCATCCGCCCAGACAGCTCATTAAGCACACGTTTGAGCGGAACTCGTCAAAAATACTTAACATCAAAGTATAGAATGTCACAAATATGAATCATACACAAATACAATAGCAATTGCTATGAATTGCTACCCTATAAATTCAAGACATGCATTTGGTTGGAGACTGGGTGGTTATGGTGGTCATAAGTTCAGCCAACACGTTCAATGGTCCATTACCCGGAGCTGCTCCAATATGATGAGTAGATTTTAGTGAGCCTCACAAGCCACTGCCTCTGGTTACAAACTGGGGGGCTACTCTGTAATGCGATACGAAAGAGAAATGCGATGCGAAAGGCGAATACGCCGTAAGTAATATGCTGTGACGATTCCCTATCGCATCGTATTTCTCTTTCGCATCGCATTACAGAGTAGACCCCCTGGATATCTTTTTAAATGATAAGAAAGGTGTTTGTTTACAAAATTACCTGTGCCACTCTGCCATAGTACGGTTGTTGCTTCCTTTCATACCACAGTAATTTTGTATGCAACTCTGAATCAGCAAAATTCATGCTCCTTCTCATTATCAACCCTGATTTTACCCCCGAGGAGTACTCAAAAATGTTTATTACTGTATATACTGTGCACTGTTAGATGCTAATTTTCAACTAGGTTGCGCAGGTTAGTGCTTTTCTTCTAGTGCGGTTTGGAATAAAAAAGACTATTGCTTTGTATTTTTACATTTACGATGTCACTCTTAGCACACATGACTACTAAATTATTCAATAAAATCCTTTTTTTCTATTACAGATAAAACCAAGATGTGTATATGTGTGTCTTAATAGACGAATGCCTACAAATATGGACAATTCGATAATAACTAATTTGCTTCCAGCTAAAAACCAATGTAAAAACTAAGGCAAAAGCGGCTGAACAAACACAAAATATCTTGCTCTAAAATGGGGACAGCAATGGGGAAAAATGGGGGACACTTTTTAGATGCACTGCCCTCTCAGGTAATATTTACGGTCTCTGAATTTCGTATTTTTACATATCTCAAAACTCCTATTTGAATTTTTAGGGCACCCTACACGTTGTTATGCTTGGCCTTGATTCAGCCGGAAAAACTACGGCTCTTTATAGATTGAAATTTGATCAGTATTTAAATACAGTACCTACAATTGGATTCAATTGCGAAAAGGTAAATACTCCATAATCATAAGCTTTTTTTTTGTATAAGAACAAAAGATAAACTAAAAGTATGTTCACATATCAATATTATCACAATCAAAGCTCGTTTTCTAATCACCCCGTTTACACAGGTAAATCTCAGATTATTAGCCGTCAAATTTGTTGTGGTTATTATTCTCACATCTCAAGGAAAAGTTATGTTTCTTCTCTGTGCCACCGTGATCACGTTTTTCTGCTATAATAAGCAATATAAATATATCTCAACTTAACATTTTATTAAAAATACCCTTACAAACCTCTTTTCCTTGCTGGCGTCCATTTTTGTTTACTTTTACAGCCTCATCATGTATCTCGAACGATAGGGGACACGAACGATTCGTCTGCAGGCGAATTCTTCTCAGCTTACAATTTTGTAAGTCGAACGATCGCTTTCGTGTAGACTTTACGTCGATTACATTGTATTCGTCTAGAAAAGTGTTGCTAAATGACATATTAAGGTATTTTTTGTATATTTCCTTTAGAATTTTATTATTTTTAATTTATTTGGCACACTTTATAGAAAATGGGCGTCAGCGTCAGATGTTATTTACTATTTTTGCCATTAATTTGAGATATTTTTTGTGTAGTTACTGGTGAAATTTGTGGGTTCTGGAGTGGCGAGTAGTGCGTCAACGAGCGTTGGGATGATACCGAATAGGGGTAGCCCCTTGAATTGCGTATCGTTGCTGTCGAATAGTGCTGGCATGTCAGTCGCTGACAAATTATCAGAGGTGGACGCTGCTGCCTGTAATGCCGAAAGCCTTGAAATTCTAAGCGCTGCGCTACTTGGTGCTACGGCCTTCGACATAGAAGTGATGCAGTCGATGGTTTTTTCGATCTCCGTCAGCCGTGAATGCTGAAAGGGATCCCACCTGTCATATTTATATTATTTATATTACGAATATAGTTCGCAAAGTGCGGCTTTTGAGGTCAGCCATGTCTGAAGTAAAATAAACAAATCTTATTTTTGGTTATGTTACGGGGATTTTTGCTACCAAGTATAAGCCTACCTTCTTCCATTATCCCGTCCCATCGCTTCTGACCCTTTGCTCTGTCTGTTTGACTGGTACTCGTCTTGCCAGATCCGGATTTTGGTCCATCTCTTGAATTAGCACCTCAAATTGTGTTGTTGTGGGTTTTTAATTGATGAAAACATAAATTATTATTTTTTGTTATATTGATTACATTTATTTTGTTTGAAATTTATAAATTTTTCACTGTATTTACTTATTTTGGCTCTCTTTCGTCTCCTTTTCGTGTTAGAAAATTGGAAACTAGACGAAAGCAACGTAACGATCAGCTGTTTTCGCGTTGCCAGACGAAAACGTATTACAAAGTACCAAGTCACGAACTATTCGTTTGGCAGACGAAACGAACGCTCGTTTCGAGATACATGATGAGGCTGTTACATTTGGCATTTCTCCTCTTTTTCGCAAAAACAATCGCTAAAACTAGGACGGACACCGAAAAGTTATCGGTTAAATCTGAGATTATTTTATAATTACAGATTAAAGCTGAAATTAGTCAAGAACGTAAACCTACCGGTACGTAAACCCGAGTCAGCTGACACGATCTATCTTACCAGAGCGCCATGTAAATGAAAACTCAACACCGCAGAATTTTTCTGTAGTTGTAGCCCGTAGCGCAGAAATCTGCGGAATTTAGATTTTTCCGTGTCAGCTGATTTCTCCTTCTTTAGATGGTTGCCACTTCGTCAGTTTTACAGATGGTAAAAAAGTTATAAGTTCCTATTTAAAATATGTTTACAATATTTGAAATTTACTATTGAATAAGGTTTTTGTTGAAAACTAAGTAGTTTATATTTAGCCAAAATCTATTATAGCACGAAAAGTTGTAGTTGAAAGGGTAAGTTTATGAAAAGGCATTGATGAGTGGCAACAGTGTAGTAAGCAACACTGAGGGCTCCAATAATCGACAAAATTCTGCGTATACAGACTGCGTTTAAGTATACGTTCTGCGTTCTCGACTAATTTCAGCTTAACAAGGGACGAATTTTATATGGCTAATCTCTTGTTCTAATTACAGATTAGGGTGTTAAGCTCGAAAATGAGGTTAATCTACTTATATGTGAACCTAGTATAAGGAACTGAAATACAAACATACTTGCTTGTTTGATTTTTTAAGGTAAATCCAAATTGGACTTTCAAAGCCATCGCTTAAAAGGTAAACGTGTCAAGGTATACTATTTCGCGTGTTATTAAAATCTATAGCGAAAGTCGTAACTATTAATAGAAAAAAAGAAAATGGCAAAGCAAAAGGCTTTAAAACCACTGTTGCCAACTTGGTGCTTTCCGCACTAAATTTAGTGTTTTGCTTTATTCAAAACGCGAAAATTGGTGTTTTGTTTAGTCTGACGATAAATCTGTAAATCTTAAAAAAATGGAAACAAAATAATGGCACAATGACACCCATAAGCGAGAGAGCATATGTTTGCCATGTATGCAGTTTTGTAGTCCATTAAATTTAAGTAGGTAAAAGTGAAAATTTCAAGACGCTAGGAAATCGCGTCAATTTTTATCATTTTTTTTTTGCTGACGGTGCTAAGCATTTTCTTCTATATAAAAGGCACCATCCTAAGATAAAACATAAGTGAATTTAACCCCTACTTGGGTTCTTATATTTTTTAATAACTAATCTTTATATATGGACCACACTAAAAGCTCCTTTTCATATAAAAATTCGTTCGTGTCCTACCTGTGACAAACGTTGTCCCACCCGTGACAGAGAAGTTTGGGTTTTTTTGTATAATAAAGCCATCATTTTTTTGTAGTTTTTGCTTTGTTTGTGTTCCTGGTTCTTTGTTTTATTATAAGACATCAAGTTCACACAGAAAAGTTAAATAAATTCGCAGAGTTTCCGTAAAATATATCTGCTCCAAAAAGCGGGCTTTTTTATTTGTCCCACCCGTGACAGAAGAAATAGATCAGTTTTTCCCCATATAAAAGTAAGCTGGAATTTGTTTCATATTTTGTAATAACTCACATAATAGTCATTTAGGAGTAGCTTTATTAAAATGTGGATTTGTTGAGTACTTAATACTTAAATTTAAACAAGAAAATTTTTTCTGTACAAATGTCCAACCCGTGACGGAATCGCCCATAAACATAAATAATAAAAAAATATGAAATTTGAGCTTGATTAGTACATTTTTACAAACTTTAGAGAACAAAAACAAAAACAAAACGATCAAGTAGTTTTCCAAATATTTCGAGAACGGTTCGAGGAGAAAACTTGAAAAAAATCGCACATACAACATCAAAATTCTCTGTAAAAATTAAAAAAAAAATATTTCTTAAAAAATTTTTCACATACAAATTATTTGATAAAAAAAATTCGTTTTTGAAAATATGAAACACAAATAATTTCATTGTATAGTTCAATGTTTTTTAAATCTGCACCCAAAAAATTGTTTCCTTCGGACACTTACTTTCAAAGAAAAAAAATATTTCCAAAACACTGCAAAAATTTTCAATTGTTGATTAAAAAAAAACTATTTGCAATTTTGCAATAAAATGTATACAGTGTACTTTTCGGCTACAAAAATCGGCGCTGTGTGAATATCATTGAAAAATATAAATCTTAGTAAATTCGGGGCCCACTTGAAGAAATACTCAAAAAGATTCTAAAAAAAAATTTAAATTTTTAATGTATTCATTTTACTCAACTTCGGTGTAAAAAAATGCATAGCTCAAATTATTGTAGAGTGCACCCCATAATACTATACTTAAATATTGCGCAATGCTCAGAGCTAAGATTGTGATTTTTTTAATTTTTTTTTTGAGATGCCATAATTTCAAAAACTAATTTTTTGATTAAAAAATTTGTATGTGAAAAATTTTTTAAATTTTTAAATTTTTTAAATATTTCTTTTCATAGAGAATTGTGATGTGTGATTTTTTTTTTAAATCTTTCTCGCCCCGTTCTCGAGATATTTGGAAAACTATTAAATCGATTTGTTTTTGTTTTTGTGCCATAAAGTTTTTAAAACTTTATTAATCAAGCTCAAATTTCATATTTATTTATTATATCAATAATCAACAGCTCAATGAAAATACTTATAGCGTTTTCTTTTCTAGAAAAAAATGCTGCATTTATTCTGCCCTGCGCCAGGGCTGTGAAGCTTTCGTGTTCCTTTATCAGCATCTTAACATGCATATTGCGTGCTCTTTCTTTAAAATGTTGCACTCTGATAATGTTGCCATTAAAGAAAGTGAATTTTTTTCGAGAAAAGAAAACGCCATTAAGAACTTGCAAGCACAGTACGCTACTTGCAGATATTTTTCAGTCGGTGTAATTGTCTTGCTATTGATCGGTTTTTTACTTTCGCATACTCCAACCGGTTTGTGTTTGCCCGCACTCAAAAAAAGAATGGAGAGATAAGGAGAGTAAATAAATAATTGCGCTGCTAACAAATGTCTTTTTGGGCGACTCAAATGTAACCGTGCAGCATGATTCAAGGTTGGATAAATATTGACATTTGCGTCAATCGACTGCGTTGTAAGGTTGCATTTGAGAAGGAAAGAGAAGCGGGTAACAATTTTATCCCCTTTTGTGAAAAGCCTTTTGTGAAAAGGTAGTAGGAAACGTAGTCTGGTAGTGCTGAAATGCGTTTTTTATATACAAATTGAATTAAATATATAAAGAAGAATCCACTGATCTACACAATAGACAATGAATTAACTTTTAATGGCCATATAGATATTAAAAATGAAATAAATGAATATTCACATAAAATTCTCACCAAAGAAAAATCTTATCGACAAATGTTCCCAAATATTCAAAATAAACCATAGTTTCATTGAAATTCCAGTATATATTAAACAAAATTAATGGAATTCAAAGAAATCATGAAGAAATATACAAATAGTAAAGGTGCATTTGATATAATGCATATAAATTAATCTTTTAAAAATTATTATATTTCTTGCATTTAAAGATTACATGTTCAGTATCTTAAATTCAATTACATTTGGTTTTTTTTATTTTAAATGTTTTAGTAATGTTTTCTATTATTTTCTCCAATCAGTCTTGCTAATCATTATATTGGTAACATTTAAAAGTTTGATCTTCAATATCGTAATTAAATTACATTTGGTTTTTTTAAAAATGTAAATTTTTTGTAATGCTTTGTACTTTTTGCTCCAATCAGTCTTGTTAATCAATATATTGGTTTCATCAAAAAAAAAATATATTCTTTAATATCGTAATTTAATTACATTTGGTTTTTTAAAAATGTAAATTTTTGGTAATGTTTATACTATTTTCTGCAATCAGTCTTGTTAATCATTATATTTGTTACATTTAAAAATTATATCATTATCAGCTTAACTTGATTACATTTGGTTTTTTAAAAATGTAACCAACCGTTATGTTATGAAAACCTCCAAAAATATGGGTCCATAGAACTTTGAATGCTGATTTCAACAACACCAAAATTACTCGGCGCAAGTTAAGATACAAAAACGTTACCACTTAAGAAATAAAACACAATTTCATCTAAACGTGTAATTGCCTCATTACCACAGACAACTAGTAAACTTGCTTAATTTTATTTGCGAGATTACGAGGTATTTCTAATTAAAAACAAACAAAAAATTAAGAATCGATGATAATTTTAACAGCAAAACGAAACTTTGCACTTCATAGAACCTTATTAATTCAGTGATAGTTGAAATCAGCATGAAGAGTTCTATCGAAGCACTTTTTTGGGTGTTCTGTAGATCAACGGTTAGTACTCTAGACTTTTTCCACTTATTAAAGCTTACATACAAAACACCAAAATATCGCACACCGTCTTCAAAAGAGTAAATCCCTGCATCAGCGAATGTGGACGGATACACAAATGATCCTGACCTGCACAAGAAAATATTTGTATTAATATTTCCACTGTAAATATGCAAAGGCTACATTTGACAAACCCAAAGGCTGCTGTGGTAAAAATACATGCACCAGCAAAGGTGGACGGACACCCAAATGATCCTGACCTGAACGATCCTGATTTGATACAATGCATATAAATTAATCTTTTAAAAATTATTATATTTCTTGCATTTAAAGATTACGTGTTCAATATCTTAAATTGAAATGCATTTCGTGCACGGACACACAAATGATCCTGACCTGCACAAGAAAATATCTTTATTAATATTTGCACTTTCACTTTTATAGGGTGGTATACATATGTACTTGTAAATATGCAAGAGCTGTACTTGACTAAACCAACGGATGCAATAGTAAAAATCCCTGCACCAGCCAATGTGGACGGACACGCAAATGATCCTGACTTGCACAAGAAAATATCTTTAGTAATATTTGTACTTTCACATTTACTTGTAAGTATGCAACGGCTGCACCTGCGCTGCTAACCAAAGTAGTTCCGAGTGGACTGTGTAGGGTATTTTACTTGTATGTTTTTATACTTGTTTAAATTCTTGATTTTCAATTTATGGTTCTATGAATTTGTTTGTAGTTGAAGAGAAAATTTTTGATTATTAATAAATAAACTTTCAACATATAAAAAACTCAAAATTTAAACTAAATATATTTAGTTATTAAAATATCATATAAATGATATATTGGCGATCCTGATTTTCGAGAAATATTTAACGACACAATAAATTTCTGAATTAATTAGTAAATACCAAAAAAATTAACAACTGAAAACGCTTTCAAAACCAAAGGCTGCAAAATTAAATTGAACCTAGAGTCCGACCGAAACATTTTCTAGAAGGTAGAACATTCACTGTTTACACTGATCATAAGCCTTTAACACATATTCTAAATTCTAAATCAGACAGATCACCTCGACAAAGTCGACATTTAGAGTACATTGCACAATTTACAGACGACATTAAATATATTTCTTGAAAAGAAAACATAGTTGCTGATACCCTTTCACGTATTCCAGATGTTAACACGATTTTAGCCCAAGACATTAATTTTCAAACATTATTTGAGGAACAACAAAAAGATCAAACGCTTTATGGCATAATATCTGATCAAAATTCCAACAGTAATTTAAAATAAATTAATATTCCGCTACTTAACCTTAATATTTGGTGTGATATTTCTCAACAGCCTTTTAGACCATTTGTTCCGAATTCTATGAGAAAAATCATTTTTGATAAAATTCATTCTTTATCACATCCAAGTGTCCGTACAACTAGACGTTTGATTCAATCAAAATATTTTTGGCCTAATATGCGCAAAGAAATAAATTAAATGGAATCTCGATCGGCGATCACTGAAACGCAGCTAGCCACTGTATACTCGAAAATGCAATGTTGCCACTTTTTCTCATTAAACCATGTTCGAATCGTGGAAATTTT